GAGATAAATTTCTATCACTACATCCAACCTTTTTATCTGATCTACAAAACCAAACTGCAATTACACACCATTCACGACTAACTTACCTAAACAATCAATTCACTGAAATACTAGACAGACTCCTCCACTCACTAAGTCAACAACTATCTACGAATATTCATCAAATCATTCAATTCCAATTAGAAAATTTAAAAATTCTTCCTCATGTATTTCCACTCACTGCCACACTCGAGTTACCCCAAGACCAATATAATGCATTATCAACTATAACCACATATATGGGCAAAGCTGACGGCACCAGATGGCCTTACTTCTTCATAACAGGACCAGCAGGAACTGGAAAATCATATATCATTCACTTAATAATAAAAATGCTCAACCAAAGAAGATCTAATTACCTATTACTTGCACCAACAGGTGTAGCAGCCCAAAATATAGGAGGAAGAACCATACATTCCGAACTTCAACTTACGTCTACCCAATCTGGATTTACCTCAAAAGCTTTTACAAACATGGAGCTTAAAACTCACTTACAACGAATCGACACACTAATTATCGAAGAAATCTCAATGGTCTCTGCCGAACTATTAGACTATATATCAAACCTATTCGCAAGACTACACAACAACGCTATCGCTTTCGGCGAAATTAAGTAATAGTCATCGGCGACCTTTTCCAACTTCCTCCTGTCTCTGGCCAACTAGTATTTCGCTCAGCTACTTGGTCGTTATTCTATCCTCTATTCTTAAAGACTCCTCAATGTCAAAATCATGACATCCAATTTTTTAATCTCCTAGAGGAAGTACGAATAGGTAGAATTTCCGCTGAAAGCTGGAACATACTACATCAACGTCATTCGTAATTTACATCACGCCCTGCAACAAACATACTTCTTCACACAACTCACATTGTGGGCTTCAAGGAAAATGCCCAGCGGATAAACAGAATGATTTGTAACTTACTCCCTGTCCACCCAAATAAATTCTTAATATCACAAGCAATCGACAATATAGACTACACATCCTTCACACCCCCCACACCCTGGAATACGACATATACTAATCATATGTTTAAATTAAAAACAAACTTACCCCCATCCGTCCACCTCCAACCAGGTGCCCGTGTCATGTATCTCAATAATTCATTAATTGATCATGGTATTTGTAATGGTACTGTGGGTATAATTACTGATGTAGATCCTGAAAACCAATCTGTTCGAATCGCATTCTCCATCAGAGGATCCATAATAGACATCAATATTTTCAAATACACACATTACTTCCAACTATATGGAAATAATTGTTAC